TGGAGCTGGCCGGGCAGACACGGGGACCATGACAGTAACTAAGGGAAGGTTCAGGGTCACCTGATCCAGCCTCGGCTCTAAGATTTGTTAAAAAGGAAAGTCTAATTATATTTGGACTGTACTGATTTATTAGAAACTCTTTTATTTATTTATTTTTAGATAGATTAAAAGTTTAAGATAGTTTGCTTTCTTTGCATTTTAACCCTTTAATGCATGAATTATGACAACCTCAGGATTTTTTTCTTAAGTATTTTTATTCATCTTCAGGCATGAAAAAAGATTTTTGAACTTCATTTTTTTAAACATGTACTTTTCAAAGACTTTTCAAAACGTATGTTGTCCAACAACACTATGCGTGAAAGTGATATAGGGAAGCATATAATTTAGTTGTGCTTTTGACATAATGATAAAAAACAGATTCTAATTTTGATTTTGATAAAAACACCAAACATAAACTCATGTTAAGGCTGTAATCAGACGAGAGACGGAGAGTACCTACCCCTGAAGTAGGAGCTAAAAGAAACAAAGCAAGTGCCACCTGGTTATAATGTGTTAAACGAAAGAAGCTTTTCTTAAAACTTTTTAACTCACCCACCCACACACACACACACACACCCACACACATACAGAGCTGGTCGAACTGGAGCTATTTAGTTTCTAAAATCTCATCCTCAAGGGTTGCGATAGGATTAACGCAATGAGACAAAATATAAAAATATATGAAGGGAAATAAATTATTTTCTGGGACCTTTCTTTACCTGTTCCCAGTAAAATCCACTGTTCTGGGACCAGGCCATATCATTTATTAAAATGCGAACTGCTGCCATTCTGAGAACGTCAAACTTGGCCCTACTATGATTAAAATGGGTGCAGCTTTGCTTTATATATTTGATCAAGTTTGGTGCATTTCAGAATGATCAAGAACAGGTTTAGTAAAATAAATGTCAGAGTATCTTTTCTGTAAGGCTGATTCCCCGCCCCCAATTTAAAGTTTGATTAGATGGATTATATCTCTTTATTACTCAGTCTGTCCTGATGAGGACAGACATCTCTCAACAGAGCCATAGAACCTCATGTTTGTTCAGTTTGGCTCGTTAGTTGTGGAGGTTTTACTGACAGAAGAAAAATAGGACTTAAGAACTTGAGGGAGGGATTGACTGAAACAATAGTAAGACCAGGAATTTGATTAAATGTAGTCCACTATGTTCAGCCAGACAGCTGCTGTTGTGTCTCCTGAATTAATGGGTTCCAGACTACTTAATTTGTCCACTTTGTTTGTATAAGAGGAGTTTTTCACATTACAAAATACAGAAACCTAAAAACCTGTGACTTACCAACCAGTGACTTATCTATTTAAATACTGAGATTTTAAGGAAGATATGCTATGGCTAAATGGACCTGCAAAGGCTCACCAAGAAATCATATGCAGTCATAGTATAAAGGTGCACATAAAATAATTAGCCTGTCTCTGGCTTATAAGAGACACAGTTTTTACATGGTTATCGCTACATTCAAGAACCCAAAAAACTTCAGACACACACATTTAGTGAAACTGAACAAAAGCTAAAACTGTGTAAAAATGCTATTTCTATGTTTTAGCTAATGTTTTTCACTCACCTGGTTCCTGAGTGACTTCTCAGCTTTTTTCTTTAGTGTCTCACTTTCTCCCGCACCTTTCATTTTTGCCTCATGATCCATTTTGACTAGTATAACTATCATCTGTAGGAAGCAGGTGGATGTGTGTTTTCTGAGGTTGGCATTAATCTCAGTTGGGAATGGGCACTCGGACAGCTATGGACACTGTGGAAAAATAGTCCCTGTTACTTTATTCAAGCTTTATGGAATTTAGGTGGTGCAATTTTAAGCCTCAGTGTTAGCTGCTGTGATGTCAGCTGTAAGAGAGGGTGAAGTGCTACGCTGTCAATTAAAGCTAGCAAGCTTTGTTAGCAGGTTTCATCAATAAACGGTACAGGTGTGGTGCACAGACACAAAGGTAATAGTAACTGACAGGCTAATAAAATACCAGAAAGTGAGTTTTAAAGACTGAAAGTGAGCTTGCAGTGCTTCTCAAGCAACATTAAGCAGTGTTGAAGGGGTAAACATTATTTTAGAGGGTGTAAAATAATGTCAAATTTTAACATAGGATTCTATGGGCCCCAGGTGCCATCAGAAGAGCAGTTTCGCATTAATCACTGCGTCATTTCATGCTGCATTCCTCTAGAAAAATATTATATCTGGCGCTAAGATGATACATGAAATTATAAGAGAAGGTGGTGGAAACGCTAATAACTAAGATCTGATTAGTGCCACAACTAGAGTTTTTAAATAATACATAGTGTGTTTAAAGAAAAGTGTACTTAGAGGTATTACGTAGCATCATATCTTTGCAGCACTAACTGCTTTTCATCCCTAATAACAGCAAGCTGCAGATGAAGCTCACTTATTGTATAGTGCAAGAGGAGTGAATTTTATGCTTCCCAAGCAGCTGAACTACTTGGCATCATTGCTAAGAAGTGACTAATAATATTATGTAACTCTCGATGCAACGGTGACTGTGTTATTGTGTGTATCATCCAGGGACAGCTCAGCAGTATAACACAGGGACCTGAAATATTTGGCGGTTTTATATAGAAGTCCCTGATTTAGTGTTTCTTTTCCACGCTGATGGGGATATAAAATGCTTAGTTTTTTTTCTTTTTTTTTTGACATTTCAGTTGCATGCATCGATTTGTTCCTGGTGTCCAAAACCACTGGGCCTGCTGTAATTACTATGCTTATTTTACTACATCCTTTAGGTTTATTTCATTACACCATGTCTGGCTGTGTTCAGCAAAATTCCCATTTTGTCGTTCTGCCAAATGTAGCACTTTATGCCCCAAGTGTCATCTTCTTTCATTAATCTTATTCCCAGTAATAGCTCTCCATGGACCTTGGCTTATCCTTCATGCCGTTAGTAATGTATCCTGATTGTCCTGGATTTTTTTTCTCAAACTCTAGCACCCTGTGTATCTCATTAGCTTGGCAGACCACACAAACAACCAGCTCTCTCTACAGTACAGCAATTTGCAATGTAATGAACTGAGCGGAAGCTTTTAGTGAGCTTAATTTTACTTTTTTTTTTGTTGTGCAGTATTTTGTTGTGCAGTTTTTTTTCTTAAACCGAAAATGGATGAAATGTCCTCTTATTTTGTTTTCATAGACCCACTGAATATATTTCCAGACATACAAGTTTTGATTAAATAAAAAAACAGGGGATGTGTTTGGACTAATCACCTTTGTAATTTCAGGTACGGCTCGTCATTAATGAGAAGGGTCTTGTCTGTGAGGAGAGGGATGTGAGCTTGCCACTGCAGGAGCACAAGGAGCCCTGGTTCATGAGGCTGAACCTGGGCGAGGAGGTGCCCGTCTTCCTCCATGGAGACACCATCATTAGTGACTACAACCAGATTATAGATTACATGGAGAAAACCTTTGTCGGAGGTAGGACAATGCTGTCTTTCTTTTCTCTTGTTTAAAGATGGCAGAGTCATTTCCATTTGCATATTTTCATTATTTTCATTCATGCTCCATTAGAGAAGCGTTGCATAATTCATAGTTCAAAATAATCCCTATTTATCATGTATTATTAATCTGGTGCTTGCTGTGGCCGTTCAGTTCTCCTGCTTACTGTCTGAAAAACACTGTTTTAGCTCCTTTTGCTCTCACTTTAAAACTTTCTTTTTATTGGCGTCCCTTCATAAACAAAAACAAAAGATTTTGGCAGTAGGTTGATTGGGCTTCTGTAGTCACTGCTAAAGCTTGAAGAAACATCCCCTCTCTCTGATGTCACACAGAGCTATGGGTAGAAAAAATGCTTTTTCTCTCAGTGATAATCACTTACAAAGACC